AGAGATCTGTTCTGACCCCCCAGAGTGTGTGTTGGGTCGTCCCACACCAACACACACTCCGAGCCAAAGATAAGTTATGGCATTTAATTAACAGACAGATAGGTCCTTGGCAGCAAACTGGCACAGACAAGCTTGGGCAGCAATCCAGCACAGATAAGCCGTGGCAGTAATCCAGCCTGCCAAGCTCACAATAATGTTCTCCAACATTTGTTCCTGCATTGACTGCCACAAAAGGGGCAAGTGCACAAGCATTCCTTTTATAGTCTGGAGAGGACCCCAATTACCACCAGCTGAGTGCAATTATCTCCTGTAATTGCGTAATTGTTCCTTAATGCCTATTAGCTCTCCAGTGCTGGGCATCTAGGAACAACTACTTTGGCTCCTCCCCACTGCTGATGTCTAGATCACACTCCCTTGTCTCCTCCCCACTGGTTCAAGGCTCAGGCGCCTCCTGGTAGCCAACCAGCTTCTCTGCACCCTGCTCGGAATCGGAACCCTGTCCAGGGTCCTCCACATCCTCCAAAGCCGACTCATAGGGCCCTTTGCTGTCAGAGTCTGGTGGCAGCTCCAATGGCTCCTGTTGGGCTACAACATATAAATATTTAAAATGATTATCAAATTGGAAAAATCTACCATTGACACTAAAATTGCATGAATTATTATTTAAACAGGCTTTTAAGAAGCCAAACACCTATAGCGTGTGAACTCTGTTAGACTTTGAGCTCATCGTCAGTTCCCAAAAAATGAAGCAAACTTAATATCCATTCTTTTGGAAGGCTTCTGGGAATATATACTTTATAAATAAGCAATTGTTACATTAAATAAAGTATTAATTACTTGAAATGTATGGGTTTTTTTTTTCTTTGTGTGAGAAAACTAAATTTATTGTTAACATTAAAAACAGAAACAATGCTGTTAATACTGATATGGTTTTGTTTGGAATCTTTGCCACTTTCCAAGTTACAAGGATCCTTCATAATGCAGAATTAAGATCTTATCCTGCTTTATCATAAAGCCTAGTCCTCTTACAAATGACTGTAATCAAATTGTTGAATACATTGTCCTAGACATCTGTTAAAACTCACCTTCTCCAATAGCATCACATCTGCCCCACATTAGAAAAAGAGAGGAATAATAAATTATGCTGACAGATTTTTTTGCTATTGCAAGAACTTTGGGAATGCATAGTGAGGCAGCTGTGAGGAACAGCTGTCATTCGGACCAGTATGATAAGCTTTTCTGAAGATGTGTTGACTAAGTGACCTGGCTTAGCAAGTAATATTTGGAGAAGGGCAATAAGTTCAGAATTTTTTCTTATGCCACCAGCACTCTTCTTGTCCAAACAATTAGCTGTCCAATTCCTAATTTCCTTTTTCCCTAAAGGAAGAAAAAAAAGTTTAGCCCTATTCGACATGAATCCGAAATGGATATATGGGTCTCTACCGCAGCAAATTCCATTTTCCCAAACAACATTCCAGAATCTTTAGTTGTTAAAGAACCAGATTTTAAGCGAGTAAAGCTCAAAAAGCAAAGCTGTAATTAATTGTAAAAGTTGGTCTTGTAATGGTTTAATTTGCCTGAAAATTTCATCTAGAAAAGAACAAAGTAGTTCACAGATGTTGAGCTTTTTCACTTCTTGTCAATAGAAGAAAACTAACCTTTTTTCAGATATTGTTCTAAAATTGAACATCAAGTCAGGGAAGACTACTTCTGGAATGATTTTCACCAAATTATTTATTCACAGAACTCCTGATAATTATATAAGAAAAGAAGGACTAGGGGAGACATGAGAGCAGTTTTCCAATATCTCAGGGGTTGCCACAAAGAAGAGGGAGTCAAACTATTC